GTTGATTTTTTTGTATCTTTCTCTTAGTCTTCATTGCATTACTTTCTGCCCTGATCTTTATAATTCCCTCACTTGCATGAGCTTTTGGATTGTCTTGCTCTAATTTTTCTAAGAGTTTAAGGTTAAGCATTAGGTTGTTTATTTGAGGTAGCTCTGTTTTCCTCATATGGGCATTTACTGCTATGAATTCCCTCATAGAACTGCTTTTCGTTGTGTTCCATAGATTCCTGTATGTTGCACTGGTATTATCATTTAATTGTAGAAACTGTCTAATTTCTTAAATTTCCTCTGTGACTCAATGGTTGTTCAGCAAGGTGTTATTCAATTTCCATGTGTTTGTGAAGTTCTTATGGTTTCTTATGCTATTAATCTTCAGTTTAATTGCACTATGGTCTGATAAATTACAGGGGATAACTTCAATTCCTTTACCTTTACTTAAGCATGTTCTATGAGCTAGCATGTGGTCTATTTTGGAAAATGACCTGTGTGCAGCCTAAAAGAATGTGTATTCTGATTTTGTGGGGTGGAACACTCTGTAGACATCTACTAAGTCCATTTGTTCTAAGACTTGGTTCAATTCTGTTATTTCGTTGTTGATTTTTTGTCCAGATAATCTGACTCTTTGTGATAATAGAGTATTGAAGTCCCCCACTACAATTATATTCATGCTTATTTCATTTTTCATATCCATTAGTATTTGTTTTGTATTGTTGGGGGCATTAGTATTCAGTGCATATATATTTATGATTATTATTTCTTCCACTTGTATTGCTCCCTTTACAAGGATGTAGTGGCCTTCTTTGTCCCTTTAATTAGTTTTGATTTGAAATCTACTCTGTCTGCAAATAAGATAGCTACCCCTGCTTTTTTCTGGGCTTCTGTCATATGAAGAACTGTTTTTCATCCTTTTACATGCGAGCTATTATTGTGATAGTGTTTGAAAAATTCAGTATGCTACAAAAGATAATTAGACAGTATTTATTAAAATCACCAATATTTATATATTATTTGTCTCTAGTAACACTGCTTCTCAAAATTTATGTTAACTTCTCTATCAGTCACATTTTTTTTTATTCCTGGGATGAAGTACCTCATATACACAAATTAGAGGAAGGACTTATTCAGGTTCATGGTTTCAAACATTTCAGTCCATGGTTGGCTGGCTTTGAGACAGAAATGGCATGGTGGGAGGGCCTGGTGGGGAAAAGCTGCTCAACCCATAGAATCCAGGAGCAAGGAGCCAAGGAGAAGCTGGATCAAGAGATACTTCATCCAAAGTTGTGCCTCCAATGACCCACCTCCTCCACCTGGGCTCCACTCCAACAGCACATTCAGCTATGATCTTATCTGTGGATCAATCCACTGAAAACTATAGTTCCCCTGTAGTCCAATCACTTTCCAAAAGGTCTACCTCTGAACAGAGGATATTTATATCTAAACCATAACAAATACACAATCATAGATATTTCTAAAGTCTTGGCTATGACAGTGGGCATTTAAAAAAATTTTTTTTAGTAACCTCAAATTACAATGTATTCTCACATACCTAAATAAGGAATTGATTGATGATGATGATACACTTTATTACTGGAAAAGTAATACTGTAAAAATAACATTTGGGGTAAAGAATGTCAAGAATCATTACTTAGGGAAAGAGTGTATTAGGGATATTTCCCCCATTTTGGAGAAGACCTTGACATAGGTTACTGTACTCAGGCTTCTTAATATGTTGATTTTAAAATTTCATGGGAAACATTTGGACTAAATCTCTGGGTCAGATAGCTTTTAATGAGGAAAGGGGTTAAAACTGTGAACCTGCCACTTTCATAAAATGTTTATTTTAAAATTAGAACTTTTAAATTCTATGAGGTAACCATCACTTAAATCACAGAAATGGACTGGAACTCATGTAAATCTTATAACCTTACTATTTAGGGTCTTCTCCTTCCAGGAGGATGAATTGCACAGTGCAGAGTTAGCCCTCATCTGATCAGGGGAAGTTTAAACACAAGAACTTCTATTCTATATTATTTTAAAAATTACTCTTCCCTTTGCCTATTTAAAAATAATCAAAAGTAATCAATAAAATCTGCCAATGTATCTTGAAGTTTCTAATCTCCTCCTTGGGAATCAGGTTCTTACCACTTAGGTACAAGCACTTCTGCAGCTTGTACAAAAATTCAGTTTAAATTTTAATTATAGTTTATATTTTAATTATGCTTTATATTTAGATAACACATTTGTATGGTTCACAATTCAAGGGCATAACCAGATAGACTGAAAAGTCTCTTTTCTATTCTTGTCTCCTCCCATCCTGTTCCCTTCTGAGTCAAACAATGGTTTCTACAGGATCTTGCATACCCTTTCACAGATATTCTAAGTATGGTATACATAAGAAAATTCCTTTATCATTCTCCCTCTGTCTTTTACACAAAGAGTGGCTTGGAATACAACAGGTGGTTTTGTTTTTACCGTGGACATTTTTTCCTACTTAGAATACTATTTTGTAGCAGAGAGAGGTGAGAAGCTTAGGGAAAGCTCTTCCTCAGAAAGAGATCTATTAAACTGGTCAAAATCAATCAAAATCTTCGAATATTGATCAAAGTGCTTACAACAGTGTGACAAACACAGGCTCAGCAAAGTGAGGGAAACACAGAAAGGCCAGTGAGAGATGTGCCCTCTGAGGGAGGGCTGCACCATCCGCCCACAACTCCTTTATGGGATAGAGTTTTGGGTGGGCTTAGGAGAACTGTTTACTATGGGCACAGCCATCCACAGATACAGGTAGTTCTCACTTCCCACAGCTTGGTGCTGCCCAAGTCCTACACTGCATGTGGGGTGGCAGCCGGGTCAGCCAGGCAGCAGTGCTGGTTTTCCTATCCCACTGTAAAAGGGGTCAGGTGGGTCTGATGAAAAGTGCAGTCCCCCATTCCCTCAAAGTGCCATGCTGAGGGAGCACTGCTCTGGTGGCCTCAGCAGCTCCCATCTCCTGCAGCTTCTTGAGGTGGAAGAGGTATTCCAGGCCCATTTGGCAGCTGGTGTTTATGGGCCAATCCCATCCCATGCTCTGGGCTGCAGACCATTGGGCAGTGGTGCCCGCCCCCAGCACCTGCTCAGTAAGGAAGATTCAGGTGGTACAGTTGGTGAAGAGTCAGTTCCCTATCCTCTTCCTCTGTATAAAATTTCTCCATGAGGGGTTAGAGCTGACTTAAATACTAGCAGCTCACTGTCTCTGCCAGAGGGCTCTACTTTATTCCACCCCATCATTACTGAAAACAATAGAGCAATCAACTAGCAAGTAGCGGAGACCAACAACTGAAAGTAATACTAATAGAAGCAGACTGGCCAGGAGCTTAATGAGAAGAACAAAGAAAAAGACAAAGAGATGCCTAAACCTGGCGTCATTCCTAGTGGCCTGGAACTCTGCACGGATGCCCAAAACTGAATCCTCTGAGGAGTAAACAGAGAGGGAACTTCTGAGCTTCTGTCTTTGGCTGACCATAGGGCAAACTCACAAATTCACTGAAGAGTGAAAGCAGTCTAAACCACACGCAGATCCAGTGGTAAGAGATGTAAACCTTGCTGGTTTATGGGATTAATATATAATCTCTGACAAATTAGGGGCTGGGAAACTGTGCTAACCCAGGGGTGACCTGGTTCCTTGGCTTAAATGTAAATTGAGGGGCAAAAGTTTGAGCAGAGACATCAAAGACTGCACAAATGCAAGGAAAATAGATGTGGTTGAATAATAAACCCAAATCACTAAACAAAACAGGAAGTATGAGGTTGACTTAATATTAAGAGCATGGAATTCAATCAAAATAGAAAAGAAGAAAATTATTAACTCCAAAAAAATATTTTTCATGATATACCGTGAGATATTTACATGATCATATTGCAAACACATGAATATTGATTTCATCAAAATTACTTTTTACTTCTATGGAAGGATGGGGGCAGAGAGTGCACATGTGTGGTAGGGGTTGACAGAGAAATAGAGGGGAGAAAGAGAGCTTCTTTGCATCCATACTAGGAAACCAATGGGTAAGGATTACAACTGAAAGCTTAACACTCAGCAAGATAAGTGTTCTTAGAGACACAGAGGTAACTTTCAAGAGTATCTGCTTAAAAAGCAGCTATCTCTGGGCAATGGGAAGTGAGAGGGAGGGAAGAGGACAGATGCTTTTCTCGGAAGCTTGTAGAATTATCACTTCATACAATTTGCAACCATGATAAATAAACATGAAGTTACAAATGCAGATTTTAGGTGTTGATACCAGATTTAGGTTCAAATCTCTGAGGGAACATGTTTGTCAAAGCACACATACAAAACACTTCCGACACCAGATGTGTGGGATTTTTTTCCTATCCTGACCAATTCTCAGACACACTGTACTCATTTGCATCACTCTTCCTACCTGGGGACAGCATCAGATCCCACAGGCTAAGGGCTCAGCCTCACAAGGTTACCCCCACTTCTGACACCATTCCCAATTCTAAGCCCTTGTACTTCAGATCAACTGGCTATGGGCTCCCAGGACACTCCATTTTCTAAAAGTTCACAGACTCAGGGAAATATTTAACTTACTTTTACTGGTTTATTTCAAAAGATTTTACAAAGAGTACAGATGCAGAGGTACATAGAACAAGGTCCTTCAGGGTCCTGAGCACATAAGTGTCTCTCCTGAGGGAAATGGGAGGCACCACAATTCCTGCACTGTATGTGTTTACCACCCCAAAGCTCATTAAATGCTGCTGCTCAGAGTTTTTACAGAGCTCCAGGCTCCCCCTCCTTCCCAGAGTTTGGTAGATGGGAACAATAATTATAACTCTCTAAACAGAAAATTCGGTCTTTCTGTTGAGCAACCCTATTCTGAAGCTATCTGGCACTCAATCCCACTTTACATATACCATAAACTCAGGCATGGGTAAAGGGACTTATTAGGAATAACAAAAGACACTGCTATCATTCAGGATAGGAGTTTAAGGGTTTAGGAGCTCTGTGCCAACTATATTTCTTGTTATACCATAAAAATCCCAGTTCTGATTTTATGTGACTCCACTGCAGTGACTTAGACCCTCCAAACTCAGTATCCTCACAGGGCAAATACCGTCTTGTGATGTTGCTGTGATAACTGGATAAAATATGGCCTACCAAATTGTGTAGCAGATGTTGGTATCTGAGGATGCATTGAACTCCTTCCCACCCCTGGGCTGCCATCTGTGATGGAGGCTACTGGTTCACCCCCAGCACATTTTGTCAGATGAAAATTCCAGGTTAGTATATGTCTTTGTGAATTTTGTGTTGCTGTAATACAGTACTGACATTGGGTTGTGCATACAGTAAAGAGATTATAATACCTAGCACCACACCATCACCACCATAAAGCAAATGGTTACAGCAACTCCTCAGCTCTGGCCAGGTTTCCCCTGGATGTGTTAGCAGAAAATGGGTCATGTGAAGAACAGAGGAGTTCACATGGTAAGACAGGAAGCCAGAGACTAAGGAGGGGCCTAGAGATCATCTCAGATATCAGGACTGGATCATAGCAATCTTTAAATAAAGTAATCAACATCTTAAGAATAGCAGACATTTATTGAACTCTAAGTGCTTTACAAATTTTTTTTGTGCTTTACAAATATTAACTCAGTTAACTCACATTAGCCTTATGAGGTAGGTGGTATTGCTATTTCCTTTTACAGGTGGGGAAACTAAGGCACTGAGGTTTAATAAGCTTGCTGAAAACTATATATTAAGAAGCTGGGGGGGAGGTGAACCCCATTAGTTGGGATCCAAAACCCATGCTAGTAATCCTTTGACCAAAAACTGTGCCCCTTCTTTCATCACGTGGTCTGCCTGGCCCGGGTCTAATAGAGCTCAACAGACAGCCAGACAGTGAACCGCACAGAAAATTAAGGATAGTCTGAAAAACCAACCAAGCAACAAAGAACAATGGCAGCAACAGAATAACCAAACTAGGATAACGGGACCCCTCTAGCTTTAATAAATTTCAGGGAGAAATGAAGGTCACCAAGCCAAGATGGAACCTGCAGGGCCTAGAAATGTGAGCATTTCCTGTTCTGGTGAGTCTCCTTCCGGGGCAGGTCACCGGATGGTGTACCTCTCCCACTTCTTCTCCGGGTCGTAGGGCTCCCAGCGGCTGGCGGGGAAGATGTGCTTGTTCTTTTCGTACCAACTCCGCAGCACCACCTTGCCCGCGTGCGACTCGTCCTTCTCCACTGTGGCGTCGCTGAGCAGCCGCGTGTCATCGTGCACATCGAAGTTGAAGAGTGGCCCGCTCTTGCCCCTGGCTTTGGTGACAATGAAGTCGTAGAAGGTGTGGTAGTGGGGCAGGATGAGGTCCTCCTTGATGTACATGAGCTGCTCCACGCTGGCCACACGCAGCTCATGGAAGTCCTGGCGCAGCCCCTGCAGCGCCTTCTTCAGGAACTGCTGCACCGTGCTGCCCTTGCTCATACGCACTGTGCGCCGGTGCCCTGAGCCATCCCAGTAGCTGAAGGTGATCTCCATCTCCTCGTGCTTCACCTGCTCGCGCTTGGCCTCCCACTCCTTGCGCAGCTCCTCCCGCAGCCGCTTCTCTTCCTCCTCGCGCTCACGGTCTGGCAGGAAGCTAGTGTCCACGTCGGGATTCTTGCCCAGGTTCTTCTTGTTCCTGCTGGTCTGCGCCACTGGGCCCTGCTCACCGTCATCGCCGTCGAGCTCATCGAGTGAGAAGGACAGGTTGGCGATCTTGCGTTTGTGCTCGCGCCTGCGCTCCTTCTCACGCCGCATCTCCAGCTGCAGCTTGTGCTCCTCTAGCTGCTTCCTCTGGGCCAGCTGCTTCTCCCGCTCCCGCAGCAGAGCCTCCTGCTTGGCTTTCATGTCATTCAGTGTCACCAGGCCCACCGTGCTCGACTTCAGCTCGGCCTCCACGGCATCATAGTGGGCCGAGAACTTCTTGTCCACCTTGGACTTGATGATGGTCTCTTCTGCAATGCGCTGCTTCAGCACCTCCATCTGCGCTTTCTGCTTCTCGCGCTTCTTAATGAGGTGCATGGCTCGGCCGGCCTCCCGCATGCTGCCCTTGTACTGAGCCATGCCCACGGCTCAGTGCAGCCTGAGCTGTGTCTCCACTCGTTCTCTCCTGCCAAGGACTTCGGGGTCAACTCATGAATTCTGCAGCAATGAGGAAAGAACATGAGTTAGAAAGTAACTGATCTCATCATGGTCTAGATCAACACTTTACAATAGAACTTTCTGCCGTGGTGGGCATGTTTTGTCCTGGTGCTGACCCAGGATGGTAACCACAAACCACAGGAGGCCAGCTAGTGTCACCATGTCACGGAGTTTTCTTTTCAAATAATTTAATTCAGAACAGGCATGGGTGCCTACAGGGCAGTGCAGGACTGGGTTTGGGAGCTGAACATCAACCACAGTCTCACATTGACCAAGTAACAAAAGAAGATCAGTCCATGAGTGCTACAGAATTTACAAGGATTTACAAGGTAGGCTTACAAAGGCAGAGCCCGGTGTGGAAGAATGCAAAGTCCACGTGAGTCGGTAACAGGAGGCTGAAGGGTCTGTGTAGGAAGGCTGAATAGTCTTGCTGGAAGGCTGAAGGTGGATATCCAAAGGTGAAAGCAAAGACTGCAGTTCTTCGAAGAAACAGTAGCGAGACTTCCTTTTTCCTTTGTTTTTTATTCCCTCCAGGCTACAAGCCTATTGGTTGGTGCCACCCACACTCAGGGTGGGTCTTCCCTCTTCACACAGTCCATGGCCACACCCAGAACTGTGTTAAACCAATCAACTGAGCATGCTTACTCAAGTTAACAACATGGTTAACTATGGATGGATGATTACCTTCTTTCTGGTGGGAGATTAACAGTATCTTCCAGCAGTTGCTTGGTGGAAAGCCAATATTTCAGCATGCTACAGGGCATAACTCACACATATTCAGAGACAGAAAAGTGAAAATACACTATCTGAGGAAAATAACTCACGACTCCCATATGTGATCTTGGTGGATAAAGAATTCCTGACCAAACAGGAGAAAACCAAAGGAGATGTCACAGATTCAAAATAGATTTTGTGCCATTTCTTTGTGTTTTATAAGATTTAAATTTTTCTTTAGTTTTTATCAAAGTAGTACCAGTTTGATAAGAATGGTTTAAGAGAATGTGAAATGATTTTACATTATTTTTCTTTTTTTTTTAATGAAGAAAAGTAAAACTAACAGGACTATTAAAAAAGTCAAAAGCAGATTCTAGTTTGTTGTTCTCTTCTACAGAGGCAAACAGTTTAAATCCTTTCAGATGTTTCTTCTGGTATTTACCTTCTTATTTTTCAGTAATGCTTATATTGCTATTTTTGTAACAAATCAGTTTTAGAGTTTATCTGTTGACTTACTATGGTGGATGGAGATTTCATTTTTCCCTATGGTAGATCAAAATGGCAGACCAACTCATGTGAAGAGGGTATTAAGGAGACTGTCAATATCTAAACCAGACAAGAAAAATTCAAGAAATTAAATTGCCAGACTTAATTATGAACACAGCGGCAAAAAAAACAATCATTCCAAGGCTACACTGTTTTCTTCTACAAACAAGCTATCCATTAACAGGCAGAGCACTTGTGCAATGTTGGCCATCATGGTCATTACTAAGAATGAAAAAGTAATAAATGCATCACAAATAATAAACTTGGCTCCTATCTATTTATTTACTCCGATATCCTCGTATATTTACATAATTAATATTTTGGGTCCATAATCTTTTATCTAGGAATAAAGCTTAACACTTCTTATATTTTGGGAATTCGGGATTCTAGAATAGTGACTCTTCCAGTGGTTCTGAGGAAATACCCACGCTCAGCCAGTGGTTCTACAGGGAAACATGTTATTTATATGTCTAAACTTTTCTTTCATAATGTTTAAAAAGCAAATGATAGTAAGTTGAATACAGTAGTTTATGAACATAGGAATGTATACATCATATATATATACATATACATATATGTGTGTGTATATACAAATATATATACAAATAGGCCTTAATCATAGATAGTTCAACACTAGAAACTTGGTGTGTAATTTACCACAATAACATCTGAATGTTTGCATATAAAATTTAAAAACTAGCAAACCACATAAAAGACGTTTTTGAGAAACCTACAGCAAATGTCATATTTAATAGAGTACTTTTATGTCCTTTATAATTTCCTCAAAAATAAAATTATGGGGAGTTTTCAACTGTACTGGATAACTGCAGATCTCCACGTATGATATGGTCACAGCACAAACTGAAAATAAGCTAAGTGGAAAATGCACGCAGTGCCCCTGCACCACTACCACAGCACACTGCAGAGTGTGATGCTTCCTGGGAAGATTTTGGGGCAGGCTGGGAGCTTGGCTAGCTGCCTCTGCCCTCCATTGTCCTCCATTGCCAGACCACCTATTGCTAGCCCAGGAAAAGACCCAACTCCAACATTTCAAGTGTGGTCTCGACTGAATGCCTGTCAGTTGCACATCATCATAAAGAGAGAAAAAAAATCATTACACTGAGCTGTTGTTAAGTCAGGGGTTGTGTGGGGAAACTGGGTGAAGGTAAGCAGCTCTGTGGACATCTGCCAGGTGAGTGAGTGGCCAAGATGGAGAGAAAGCTCCAACCATCTGTCAAAAGTTTGTGCATATTTGGTTCTGATTTCAAAGCATCACCAGAAACACAGCTTTTATCATTATTGGTGCTACTTTTTTTTTTTTTTTGTTTTTTTTTTTTTTTTTTTTTTTTTTTTTGAGGCAGGTCTCACTCTGTAGTTCAGGCTGGGTTTGAACTCACTATGTAGCCCAAGCTGGCCTGGAACTCACAGTGATCTTCCTGATTCATTCTCCCAAGTGCTGGGATTATACCCCCATGCCCAGCTGAAATACAGCTTTTAAAAGTATCTCCAGAGAAACAGTCATGACAAAAACAAAGATGCTGTGAGTCAGACATTGACTAACACTCCATTAATCATCTGACCTCCATAGGTGACAGCAGGGACTTTTACTGGAGGCCACAATGCCATGTTGGAGCTCTTGGAGTCAGTATTAGTTCAGAACCAGTGTCTAGTGGTCCCCAAAATGTCCAATCAATTTCTTTTCCCCATTGTACAGTTACCCTGGCCAAAGACCTTAGGTCTCTATGGGGAAGGATGGAAGACAACTTGACAGTATAACATTTTGATGGTGTACCAGGGTCTTCCCCAAGGGGACCCGGCTTCCTTTTCATTCAAGGAGTTCTGGGCCTGAACTGGCTCAAGTCTGTAACCTGCTTGAGGGACAGTGATTCTCTGTTGCAACAATTTAAGGTAGATTTTAATTCATTTGCCCTGAAATATTTCTGCTTATATAAATCCAGTAAAAATCTAGTAGGCTTCCTGTCTATTTCATTCTTGGGAACATCATGACTAATCAGCCAATGCCGTAGGTCTACAGGTGTCTGGCCATTTTGATCATTGCTTTATTTGTGCTGTCCATTATGGTAAGTTTGCTTGCCTTGCCTTCAGCAGTTTAGTGCTCCCACTTGGCCCTGCCACTCTGGGATGCAATTAAACCTAGCGTCTTTATGTTACCATTGTGTGTCTTCATCCCTACTGTAAGGTCCAACATACAGAGAAGAGCAACAACAGGGCTCTTTCAAGGATGCCTCACAAATCTGTTTCTTAAGATGTTAGTGAGGGATACATTTTATGGATCCTCCAAGTATGGAGGGTTAGGTTTTACCTGGTAAATCCACTCCAGCATTCCCATTTCCCTAAGCCTTTGAATCCCCTCATCAATAGTAAACCAAGGAGGGCTGGGGATTTAGCTCAGTGGTGCTGCCACCTGCCTCGCAGAAGCAAAGTCCTGAGTTTGACCCCTAGTACATATAAAAAAAATTGTAAACCAAGAAATATCAAGCATCTCCAGCTCATTCGCAGTGGGCCATCTTTTGATCCATACTTTAGCCAACCATCCAAATAAAGTGTTGTCATCTTTTTTAACTTCTCCTGTTGTGATATTAAATTCAGAATCTCTACTTAGTGGGCACGTCAAGAAACTCAGCCTGATCCAGGTTTCTGTTTCTTCCACCTTCATCCGGTAAATCCATCCCCATACTTGTGTCTCAGATCTCTGCTTATAAAAACGGGAAAACTCAAGAAGTTCCTTGGGAGGCTGGAGATTTAGCTCAATGATTCTACTGCCTGCCTTGCAAGAAGGAGGATGCGAGTTTGATCCCTGGTACCCAAAAAAGAAGAAGGAAGAAGTTCCTTGGGAGTGGAGTGGACCTGGACCTCCTCATTGGTCGTGCAGTACTTCACCTTACAGACATTCTCAGATTTGAGCCCGATTGCTTGTAGGCCTACAGGCAGAAGTGTGTAGTGAGGAATGAAATGGAAGGGGACCAAGAGATGGTGGGAGGAGGAGGGGAGGAAAGAGGAAGCGGAAGTAAAATTGAGATGTGCTGTGTACGTGCACCAACTCCCACTGAGGAATGTGATCATTGCGTACTTCAAACGTGTACTAATAAAAATAAATTTAAATTGAGGAAAAGAATTTAGGAGTTCAGTGTCCCAAGCTTCTTCAGCTTCCTCCCAAACATCTCCATCTCAGTGCCCAGATCCCTTCCTCCAATCAGCAACCTCACTTTCACTTCAGCTACCCTTTGAGGCTGCGTGTTCAACTCAGCAATTTAATTATGAGGGTTTGTGTTTGATTTTCAGCAACTTCAGCTTTACAGCCATAAGTAAGAAGATTTTCCTTCAGGTGGCATTTAGAAACCTTTAGGTTTTTTATGCCTGTCTGCAGCTGGTAGTTTGAATCTCTGAGCTCCTGATTTTCCTTTATTACTTTGTCTTCATTCTTAGAAGCTTTTAGATTGTTTGTGCATAACTGGAGCTCATGATTTTTTTTTAGTAGTTTGTCCAGAGATGCTAAGAGCAAGGAGCCAACATCATTATTTTTCCAACTCTTCAAAAAACATTGAAAAGCATTATACGTAGTGACTAACCTTAAATCATATAAGTGCCGAATTAGAATAAGCAAATGGATCTAGGTTGTATATTACTTTAAGCAGTTCACACTCTGTACTATTAGTACTATCTCTGCATTATCAAAGGCAGAGATCACGACAACTTTGTGTCTTATCAAATGTCAGAGCCAATTTCAGAAGTCACTAAATCAATTAGAGAAATTGATGCCAGAATTCTGTTTCTCTTGAGCCATTCTTGCTGCCAAAACCTATTTAGTTAAGGTCCCCTAGAGAAACAGAAGCAGTATAAAATATGCATATAATTATATGAGGGATTTATTAGGTAGGCTTAGAGGATCGAAAGGGGAGGAGTCCCAGTAACCATATGTGGAAACAGAGGTGAAGAATCCAAAATGGCCCACCTGCACACTGAAGAGTTGCAGGATCTGTAACAGTCAAAGGGTGAAGGCCTGGCCGCTCACTGCAGTCACCAGTGCGAACCTGTTAGAAAGCTGAAGAGCCTGTGCTGGAAGCCTGAAGGAACAGGAGAAAAACAGCTGAAGGCAATGGTGGAAACCAGAGCTTCTTTGAAGAAAAAGGACAGAGTTCTTTCTCTTTTTGTTCCATCCAGGCAACAAGCCTGTGTTGGTTCCACCCACACCTAGGATGGGGATTCCCTCCTCAGTCTGTGGTTTACATGTTAAACATTTGCAGACACAACAGAGCTTCACCATTCTGCTAGGTGGTTCTTACTGGAGAGAAGCTGACAGACACAGCAATCACAACCAGCTTTTTGACACTTGAAGTGTCTGGAGAATGATCACCCAGCAAACTGAGGAAATTAAATTCTGAGCTAAGAAAATGCTTCAGAAAATATCTGACCTTGGGTGAGCAGTGAGGCACTGCTGGAGAACTCTGAAGGTAAGAAAGGTCTTGGTTATTAGTTTCAACTTAAACCAACAAATCTCGCTTATGGAATTAATATGGTCATCAGATGATGTATGATGTCTCTGTTGATAAAGACTGCTGGATGGCTTTGGGTGAACTGGACTCCTAACTTTCAGCCATTGTGTAGTGGCTTCCCTCAGTGCAGCCCCTGGATGTCCACTCATGATTGCTTGCCCAGGGAAATACTGCCCAGGAGCATCCTGGAGCTTTTGAGAAAACCCACTCACTCCAGACTTCATGGAAAACCAGAGCAGTTCATGATTTCTCCAGAACTCTCACGATGCTCCCGGGATCCACCAGTCCCAGCAGAGTCTTGATATTGTCTGTGTCTGTGGTTACCACTGTGTATCTGACATGGCTCATCACTGTTAACCTTTGTTCTTTACACAGGCTACAAGAGTGGAAGATGCCACAAAATAGTTGTGCGATGTGCAAACAGCAGTTAGCACCGAGTCTCCTCTTGCCCGACCTACCTCTCACCTGTTCTGGTTTGTTTGTTGTTGGTGCTGGGGATCAAAACCAGGGCATTGTGCATGCAAGGCAAGAACTCTACCCCTGAGCCACATCCCAGCCCCACCCTCTTCCAGTTTTTACTTCTCTGCAAACCTGTATTTTCTGTGAAGAACACTCATGTTTTTTCATTTCGGTACCGGGGATTGAACTCAGGACCTTGCACTTGTGAGGCAGGCAGCGGCATCACTGAGCTAAACCTCCAGCCCCTAATGTACTAATGTTTAAGGCAGTAAACAAAATCACATGAGAAGAAAGTCTGGTGTAGATTCTTGCCACCCATCACTTTAATTTGGGGCCAGATCATATAAAGATATGAGCTAATTTCTTAAAATTTATCTTTAGTTACAATTTGAGACACTTTTTTTCTTAAAGTTTTTTTAAATTAATTTTTTTAATTTTAATTTTTTAAGACAGGATTTTGCCATGTAGTTCAGGCTAGCCTTGAAATCACTATGTAGCCTAAGCAGGCCTTGAACTCATAGCCATCCTCCTACCTCAGCCTCCCAAGTGCTAGGACTAGCCGTGCACCATAATGTCTGGCTAAAATTAATTTCTAAATGTACATATAGTGTAATTTCAATGTTTCTTGGTGCACAGTTACTTGAGTTTTGACAAATGCCTACATGCCTCTACTTGTCAGCAAAGCCTCAGTTGCGTTTCTCTTTCTCAGTTTTCAGAGGCATATGTACTTGTAGTTCATTCTTTTCTGTTGCCAAGTAATATTCCTTTGTATGAAAGTACCACAGTTTATCCATTGAAAGACATGGATTTTTTCCAGTGTTTGCTAAGTAAATACAGGAGTATTATAAACATTTAGGTAGAAGATTTTCATTTCCCTACCTACGATTAGGATTGATAAGCTATATGATGCTATTTTCTATAATGACAATATCATTTTGTGTTCTTAGCAATATGTAATAGCTTCAGTTACTGGACATTCTCACCTGCACTTGAGTTATCACTTTTTATTTACTTTTTGGATTTTACTCATTCTACTCAAGAGCTCTGTAATGTTGTGAATGATCATGATTTACATTTCATTAAGTGAAAAATGATGTATTCTTCAGTAAAATATCTATCCAAATCTTTTGCTAATCTTCATTTGGGTGCTTGGTTTTTTAGAACTATTTTTAGAGTTTATGAGTGTTTCTAAGGGCAAGTTCTTCATCACATGTGTGATTTTTGCAGTACTTTCTACCAGTCTAACATCTCTTTTCATTCTCTTACTGTTCTTTGTAGAGCAAAGCGTTTAAATTTTGATAAAGTCTAACTTATCAGTTACTCATTTATGGGCCGTGCTTTTGGGGTCTGATGTGGAAGTTCTTCGCCAAACTTGAGGTTACAAAAATTGCTCCTAGAATTTCTTGTAGAAGTTTTATAGCTTTCAGTTTTCAACTTGGACTTCTGACCTATTTCAAATATTTTTGTATGTTTCCCTTCCATCTAAATACTGAACTGCTTTCTTGGTTTTACATAACCAAATCCATCTCCAGATCTCTAAAAAAAGAAAGCAGTCTGCACCCTCTGTCCATGGTGGAATCTGGTGGGCCCGAGAAGTATCAGAACACTGAAGGTACACTTGGGGGCTACAGAAATTGGCAGGCGCTGGCCAGGAAGCTTTTCTCTGTCCTGACTTCAGTGTGCGGTCTCTTCACCATGTGCTGGGCCACACCCGCAACATGGCTGGCTCAGTGCTTCCTCACGACAAGCTCAAGTGGCCGTTCTGACACAAGAAAGCCCAAGATGAGCCATTATTCCAAGGTGTGGTGGTCTGAGGATCTCTCAACACACAGCTGTGCCTTCTTTATGACCAAAATGAACTGGCTGGCTTTTTGCCGAGCCAGTGGGATTATCTGTAATTGTCCCACGAGTCAGGACCAGGCCTCAGGTTCTGTCAGGATGCGCTTCCTCCTCTCTGGCAGAACTTCCTGGGAACCATGTGAAGGGTGCAGAGATTCTGGGGGCGGGTGAAATGTCAAAGGTGAAATCTCCTTTTGTATCTCTGAGATTAGCCACAAGGCCTCCACTGAGAGCCACCACATTCTCAGATTTGCCACCCAAGAGTGGATCAGGACTGAATGTTGCCAGGGGTCTGCAGTAAATGGAATGTTTTGTGGAGATGTAGCTATTCTCTGTACCATGGTTACCAAGCTCAGGGCTGGGGATCAGTGGTGGGAACAAACTGGACCAGGACACATGGCTTAAAATTATTGCCAAGTCACGGGGCCTTCAGTAAATATACTGAGACATGCTCAACCTTGCTGGCCGCTGGAAAAATGCAAAGTAAAACAATGCTGAGATTCCATCTTACTCCAGAAAGAATGGCCATCATCAGGGAAGTAAATAACAACAAATGCAGGTGAGGCTTTGGGGCAAAAAGTAACCCTCTAACTGCGTTGGAAATGTGAGCTAGTAAAGCCACTGTGATGTGGAAATAAGTACGGAGAGTCTTCAGAAAACTAAATTCCCTTGACCCAGCTATTCCCCCACTAGGTATCTTCCTGAAAGAATTACAGAGTTAAAGACATCGTGTTCCAGTGGTCCATGCACACCTGTGTTTACAGCTGCACAACTCACAATGTCTAATTCTTGGAAGCAGCCTACGCAGCCCTCAACAGATAAGGATAAGGAGGAGGTTACCTGCACACAATGGGGTACTACTGTTCCGTAAAGATAAACTGGGGTCATTTGTAGGAAAGTCGATGCACCTTGAGACCATAAAGTTAAGTGAAATAAATCAGACACATGAGCTTAAAAATCACCTGGTTTGTCTTATATGAAAATTATAAATAAAGAGCCAAACAAAAGATAGATAATAGGGAGATTGATCTTTCTCAAATGGGAAAGGGATTGAGAGGAGGGACGGGGATGAAAAAAGGAAAGGAGATGTGTTCTGTCCATGTTCCAACTCCACACAAGGCCATTCTGCACTGAAAACATTAGCAATGAAAGTAAAAATTTGAAAAATGAGTTATGTGGCCCCTTGCTAGTTCTGTGTTTTTAGTTTTTGCGTTCTAGGTTCTGGCATATTAACACATCGGACATCAACACATGTCCGATGAACAAATGAATGAACACATATTGTACTATTTGATTATATGACATGGAGACACTGCTGATACCAGCAATACTAGGTATTACAGTAAAAGCGTCCAGTGGCACAGCTGCACTTTTAATTCTCTTTAGATGGAAGGTATCTAAAGTTCACTCTCCAAATGCCCAGAGCTCTGAAATCCTGAGCAGAGGGGATATCCTGCTGCATACACTTCAGGGGCCTGGGGTGTCAGGACTGGGTTCTCACAAAGCACATTTGTCATGAGCTTAGGTGAAATCGTGTAATTTTTCTAAGTCCCAGTCTTCATGTGAAAAATTACAGGCAAACTTTCTGATCCTTCGGAGTCGTGCAGTTTTGGAGTTATGAGAACTTTCTCATAGCTTATCTAAATCGATTGCAAGAGGGATCAAAAGAATCCAAATCTTACTTGTTGGTGCAGTCCCTCCTGTGGCTGGTCATCTAGAAGATTCCAAACTCCAGTTTCTGGGGGTGGGGAAGACGCCAGCTCAGCAGAGGCCCCGGCTCCATCAGCTGACAGGGTCCACTCAGACTGGCTGCGCAGCCCGGGCTGACGTGTTATCAGCTTAGCTTCAAGGCCAGTCCAAAGGGCTGGGAGCGGGGGAACAGGCACAAGAAAGCCTGAGCTGGGTAGTGGAGGGGAAGGAGGAGGCCACCGGTCCCACAGTCAGAACCTGACAAAGTACCAGTGACTCCTGCTCAGACTTATCAAAGAGCCAATTCTGAACACCTTCAGTGGGTGTTTACACCAAGAGAAAGACAAATTCTCTTCTGTTCAGCTGCGTCTCCCTGTGAAAGTTCTCCATTCCTAGTTTTTTTTTTTTGTTTTTTTGTGGAAGGTTATTTTCTCCTGTCGTGCTTCTCTGGGAAGCCATCTTCCCTGTCCTCCATTCTCCCTTTCTCCCTTCCTTCTTTCTCCCTCCCTCACTCCTTTTCTTCCTTCCTTCCTTCCTCCCTCCCTCCCCAAACATGACAGCACTGTCACCCACCAGGCCCTTCCTTGTCACCCAGAAGCCTGGCATGAGAGGAACGCATTATCATCAAGGGATTTACACAGTAACCAACCTGGTTATTGCTCTAATTTGTGCTCATTTCAATACTTACTATAAAACAAAAGTATTTTTGCACTACACGCATTTTGTAAAAACTTGACATAAAATGCTATGTGAACCATGAGTGATAACCATTATTAAGAGCTGACACTTCCCGATTTTATTGTTTTTTTGTTTTTGAGACAGGGTCTCAACTATGTAGTTGAGACTGACTTGGAACTCACTGTGTAGTCCAGGCTGGTCTCAAACTTACGATCCTCCTACCTCAGCCTCCTGAGTTCTGGGATTACAGGCATGCACCACCACGCCCAGCACCTCTAGACTTTAAATGCACACATTTCATATGTATTTTAATGTCTGTGGGATTAGTCTGTACATTGTTGATATCCTTAGCATATCATTCTTCGTCCCATGACAGCGTTTAAGGGCCTACCTGATCTGTTTGGCCTCAAAGTCTTTCAGCATAAGGATATATCATCATGGATTTTACCAGATTTCTAGGCTTCACATCTGCTTACAGTGTTACATTTGAATTATCTTTCATACATCTTATCTCTGTGAAATAATTCTCATAGTTCCTGATACTTAATATATAAGTTGTAATTATTGGTAAACTTTTTAAACCTGATGGCCCTTGACTTTGGCTTAAATTTAGCATCTTTTCATGTTCACCTTCATGATTGAATCTTTTACATATTATGTGTGTGTAAGTATGTGTGTACAAGAGTGTGTGTGTGTGTGTGTGTGTGTGTGTGTGTGTGTGTGTGTGTGTTGCTGGGAATTGAACCCAGGGCCTCATGCCTGCTAGGTAACTCTATTGTTGAGCTGTGTCCTATATTACTGATTTTTCTACTGAGATTTGTTCTTTCACATTGACTTATCAGGACACTGTCTACAGAGAATACCAACCCCCTGATATGTCACATAAGTTCCAACTTTTCCCCCTAGTTTGTTATTTACATATTAGCACTGTTTATGTTATTTTAGGATATCAGTTTCTGTATTTTTATTTTTATATAGTATTTTCTTTGGTGACTTGTAAATTATACAACTATTTTAAAACTCAGTTTTCTAGGCTTTCAATTGTGTACTTATATGTACATACTTATATACATAATTCTGGTTGGAATCTACTTCTAATTATAATAGCAGTGATCTAAGTCTTTTTCTTGGGGTGGGTGGCTTTGAGAGAGGGTCTCACTGTGTATTCCAGGCTGACATTGAACTCACTCTGTCCCCCAGGCTGGCTTTCAACCTGTGATCCTTCCACTTCAGCAGGGTATCTTTTCTCTAAAAGAAGATACTAAATTAAATTAACATAAAAGCTTAGAACTTTTTTCCACTTGCTCCATGGACCACTGATAATTCTTGGTAATTAGTAAAAATTGTAAGAAATGCTTCTCAGTGATTCTGAGGGTTGCAGAGCCTGTTAACGCAGTCTTTCAGTTGAGGGTCTCTCCATGGTAAGAAAGAGAAAGCTTGACTCAAACTGGTTTCACTAACACCTCTAATGGCTCCCTTATCAGGAGCGATCGGAGGTTATAAGGCCTGTGCATGCAACCTGCTTCAGTTCAGCAATCTCACCTTCCCTCCATGCTATTTCATCTTCAGGTTGAAATTCCTTAGACCTCAAGATGATTCCAGCTTTTCCTGGAGCTATGTGCAGTGTCACTTGATTACTCCCTGAGGAGAATAGAAGTGTCCCTTCTTAGATCTCCCCTTGGCAATCACAGTGGTCGGGGAAAATGACAGATAGTCCTTAAGTCAGTCAGAGTTTACCCTGGAGCTGGGGCTTAGGAGGAGGAGGAAACCTGAGAAGCTTTGGGGAAAGGTGAGCACCCACCCACACATCCATTGTGTAAGCCAGAGGCAGGGAGAACAGAACTTGAGGGTTTTAATCAGCAACTGAGACAGGAGACAGGGCGAGGCTTAGACTGGCTGGGAAGGAGGCCTGGGGGTCCCAGATTCGGAGCCCTGTCATCTCTCAGGACCCACATGTAGAAGTTCACTCAGTTCCCGCGAGGTGTAGATGGCATAGATGGACCCAACACCGTGGAGAGCTTTCTACTGTGGCTGTCCTCATGGTATCCTACCTTGTTCCCCAGGGTATACATTTATGTTTTGCTTTTCTTTTTCCTCTCTCTTGCTCCCAGTTTTGCTCTGCAGAACCTATCCCCCCTCACCCTTTACCACCACTTTTCAAATAAACCTCATCATCACTTTTGGCTATTTCTTTCAATTCTTTGTTTGAGGTAAGAAGAATCTGGAAACCAAGAGGGGAGTACCCCCCAAAACCTGGTAGCTTTATTTGGAGAGCTGTTTCTAGAAGGAGCTTCGTGACAACATAACTGCTTGCAATACATACGTGGGCCTGTTTGACTGTTATAGGAATGCTTTGAATTTCATTATCAAGTCTTTTACCATGTGTGTGTGTGTGTGTGTGTGTGTGTGTGTGTGTGTGTGTGTGTGCATGCTGAGGACTGAACCCAGGGACTCAGGCACACTAGGCAGCTTTCTCACTGAGCTCCACCCTATGTTACTTCTCTATTTGATAGATGGAAATACTAAGGGGTTGAAGAAGTTTATGACTTGTCCTCCATCACTAGCCATGTAGGTAACTTGGTTCAAGTCTAGATCTCAGGACTAGATTCTCTCCTCTTTCCAGCAATTTAAACCACCTCCCTATAGGCTGAGAACCACTGCTGCATAGACGGGATTCTGTTAGTTCCAAAAATTATTTTTTTTCAAAAGGAGATATTAAATAGTGCACATAACAGTGGGAGGTGAGGATTTGATGCTTTCAATGGAGACAGAGCACTTTGTGAGTCCAGGAACATGGTGGATTCAGGAATGAAGGTGTAAATCCTGTTCTCTCTTGGCTGGAGGGGACCAACATCTGCACAGGGAGGCTTATCGGAGAATGTGGTCACAGAGGGCAGGAGGAGGGCTGCAGGGGAAAGCCAACACAACCTAGGTAGCTATTTAGATAAGTACCTGCTGTGTTAGCATTCCATTACTGTGAGAAATATTACCTTAGATCACCCTCTTCCAGAAAAGAAAGTTTTGTCTTCTGTTGAAGATTTGGAGGCTTCAGTCCAGGGTCAGTACCAAGCTTAGGTCCCAACCTTTAACACATGGCCTTTGAAGGGTGTTCCTGATCTAAACGATGGCACCCTGCGTGGGACCTCAGAGAAGCAGTAGAAAGCTTTTTGAAATAAATCCTCGAACCATGCGGTGAGGGCAAAGAAATGCCCTTGTCCAAGGCCTCTGACCACAGGGGTCACGGGTGCCAAGGAACCGACCAAGTGAGTACTCAGGGAGCTTCTGCAGATGCCTGGAAGCCACTGCCTGGGAGAAGCCGGGAGGAAGGTGAGAAGAGGTGTTGTCAGGCAGCCGCAGCAGGGAGGGAGGGCCAGGCATCCTAAGAGGGGCGTAAGAGGTGAACCCAGCTCAGCTAAGGGAGTGATGCCCACGTTTTCCTAGTTGGAGTTTGATAGTTCACGGCCTGGATTACTTCAGCCACCTCTTAGAAAAGTCTTCCTAGCTTCTCCTCAATCAACTACTGCAGAAATCGCCCTAAAACACAGCAACAGTATTGTCCTCCCTTGCGCGAGAGGCTTCGTTATTACCGGCAAGATCACATCCTTCACAATTGGTTTTACTATCGTTAAACAACTGTATTTCCAGGAACTGGCCCAGCTAGATCCACACCAGGCCAGTTTCCTTACCTTTTGATAAATGTGCCAAGATTGTTCCTTCCCGCTCCCTTGGCTGTCACCGTCCACTCTGCCTGACGGAGGCCACGTGCAGAACCTCTGCCAACTGCTGCCACAGGCGCTGGCCAATCAGCTCAGGGCGGAGCCGGACACTGCGGGCGGGCAACTGCCAAGGTGGGCGGCCGGTCCTCCTCTACCCACCGCCATCCTGGCTCTCCGCATGGCTTTCCTGGACTGCTTTTGCGGGGGTTTCCTCCTCTAGATCTATTGCTACACTGTATCCAGAGTACAAACAGTTAAAGAGAGTCCTGCAAGGGTCCAAGAGTTAGAAACACCTGCAGTTTTTGAGGCCATAATCTGTATTACTTCTCCCTATGTAACAACACTTTGGGGATGTTTTCTACTGAAAGATATGGTTCAGTCTTTCCTAGAGCATGGTTGATCAAAATTATTATTATTATTATTATTATTATTATCATCATCATTATTATTTGCAGTATGGAGGACCAAACACAGACCCGCTCTACCACCATATCCTCAGCCCTTTAAGTTTGTTATGCTCAAACTTGTGGTTCTTCTCCCTCAGCCCCGCTCAGTGCTCAGATTACAGGTGTACACCACCACTCCCAGGTCAAATTTCAGTTTTTATTATGAATATTTTAAATTTTTGTTCAATTTCAAAAATTTGTAACTGATAATGATACACATTTTTATAATTTTATTTCCAAATGAATGAGTAAATGAGGAAGAAATGGAAAGCATTTATTCAAGGGCTCACACTCCTGGGTGGTTGGTTTCCCATTTTATTTCTTAGGATTTTTCCAGCACGGGAAAAGCCTCATAGAAATCTGCTAGGAAGTGTAACCATTCTTTCTATGGAGAAGCTATACAATTTCCAGAGATTTCAAGTTCCCTGACTATGCTCTTTTTGGCTACATTCCTAGCAGTTCCAACACCAGGATGCCTAACAGTGTTTGGACCTGCATGGTGACCTTAGAACACAGCCCCAGATGTGCTGACACACCTGTGTTGAGAGCCCGGTCTCCACCTCCTTCCTGGTGACCTATATGTAACCACAGGAGGCAGAAAAGGCAGTGAGTTCTGCTGCATTCCCTGAGGAGCCCTCTTCCTGCCCTCTGTGACCACATTCCCCGATAAGCCACTGTGTGCAGACGTTGGCCCTCTCCAGCCAAGAGAGATCAGGATATTTAGAAGGCTGGCTGGGGATACAGCTCAGTGTGAAAGTCCTGGGTGTGAACCCCAGTACCACTAAAACCTTCCTCTTAACTCAAACTCGGTGTCTTCTCAATTCAACTCCCTCTGTGCAGTTTCCAAAGAATATCTGCAGCCAATTCAGTGCTACCCAGTGTGAGGGGAAGTTGGGACAGAGAGAAACAGCAATTACTTGTGGGTGAAGTTTCTTACCTTGGAAATTACTACAAGATATATGGCCCCAGAGAGCATGCCCAGGCAAGTAATGGGCCAGAAACTGTGGCTTCCTTTGTATCCTGGAGATCTGCTCTATTTGGTTTCCTGGTGTCACTCATTCCCTCCCTAGACACCCTGGGGAAGAAGGATGCTCCCGGTGGCCTTTGTGTTGTGGGGAGCACAGTTCTCAGGCTTCGTGGACCCTGATATGTTTTATTTGATTTGTGTATCTGTGACATTTTTATTCCTGAATAAATAGCTAGCATCTAAAAACTAGAATAATTCACATTTTTTAAAAAATCCAAATTTCTGGCTTTCCCTGGAAACAAGAAGATCTGGAAAAGTGGGCCTGCATCCCCACAGGACAAGAGGCCAGGAGGAGAGCGAGGCCACCCTCAGATGGGATAAGGGTTCTCAAGGTTCCTGGGCATCATCAGGCCTCTCTGGGCCTCCAGCTCATCTCGGTCACCGCCTGACTCCTGGACCATCCATACACAAAGCAGGAAGACACACACGTCAGCTTTAGTAAGCAAATGCCAGGAAGATGGAGGCCGAAGCAATAGTCTCATCTGTTTGCAATCTCTCCTTAACAGCACACCTCCTGACTTCCCTTCCATTGCAGGTTTTCTACTGCTATGCTGACTATGCACTCATAATTACAGACTTCTTTTCTTTGGTCTTTAAAGGGAAGAAAGCTCCTAGAGTTTCCCCAATTGGTGGATTTAACAGAAAGAAACAGCAAAACTGCAACCCCACTGTTGAATTACTTCAGGTTTGTCATGAAATCAAAGTTTATCATGATCTTTCTTTTCAGATTTAACCACAGGAATTGGCAAAGTCACCTGCCAATCCTGTGTAGCCTTTTACAAAAACAGATGAGCAAACAGTATAAAAATTCCTCAAAAAAGTTGAATTACCACATGATACCTATTTCTAGATGTATATATATCCCCTCCCCACAGTACAGTTGAGAGCAGGGACTCAAACAGATACCTGTGCCCCTGTTCACGGCAGCCTCATTCACTGTTGCTGAGAGGTGAAGTAGCTGTGTCCATGGATGGGCAGATGAATGAACAAAATGTAGAATTCACACGAGGCCTGAGACGGGAAGGAGGTTCTCACACTTGCTGCAACATGGAAGAACTCTGGCCACATTATGTTAAAGTCACACAAGCAGTTTCCCTCTTATATACCCACACATACCGAATGAGGCCACTTCTGGGTGAAATCTAGAGTGCTTGATTTCATACAGGCAGAAAAGTAAGATGGCGGTCTCCAGGGTTAATGGGAAGTCAGGAAACACGCAGCTAGTGGCTCAATTTGGGAAGACGAAAGCATTCTAGAGGTAGATCCCGGAGATAGATGTGTCACTGAACTATAACTCCAAAACGGACTAAAGATTAGTGGATAAAGAAACTGCAGTACATACACAACAGGATACTATCCAGTCACAAAAAAGAACAAAATTCTGTCATTTGTATAGTATCCATGAGCCCAGAGGATGTTATGTTAAGTAAGACAGGCACAGAAAGACAACCGTCACAGGCTCTCACCTCTATGCAGAAGCTTTAAAAAGGTAGATCTCAAAAACAGAGAGTAAAAAGTGGCTCCCAGAGGCTGGGAAGGGCTAGGAAGAGGAGGGGTGGAGAAAGGTGGTTGGGGGAACAGCTCAGGCTGCAGCCGGAGAGGCAGGACGAGTCTGAGGTTCTCCAGCGCATCGGGACCTGTGGAGGACGGCAGTTACCCCTATCGTTTAAAACAGTAGAGGGTCTCAGCCATTCCCAACTCAAAGAAGTGACCACTGTTTGAGGCAAGGAAGGGTGATTTACCCCGATCTGATCTTGCACACTGTGAACATGAATTAAAAGACCACATCTTACCGCACAGATAGGTACAGTTATTGTGTATCGTGGAGCATTGTTTTCGTAAAAGGAAATAAACTGAAAACAAAGGTAGAAAAACAAAACATGTCTACCCAGTCTGGAAGGAGATTTTGCTTAGTGTGGGTTAGAAGCTGCCACTGTACACAGGACTTACAAGTTCTATGGAAGCGAGTGCCCCTGAATACATAGCAAAATAAATAATGACTAGGAAAAATGTGGGTAATAGCAAATCTTATATTATGTACATTTTATCTCAGCTGAAAATAAATAAATACAAGAAGATCTACTGTGATGTGTAGCCTCTCATTTAAAATCAAAACTAAACACAGCTTGCTTCCCCAGGAGTCCCTGGGATAGCTGTCACAGCGGAGGTGGGAGGGAGGAGGACACTAGGGGCTCCTGGGTCTAACTGGCCAACTGAGGCCCACCCAGAGTACTCAGCTACGACTGCCACAGGCCTCAGGCCAAAGAACACCCCTCCCCCTGGTTAGATGAGTACTCGGATAACAGCGTTCATCAGTGATCCCGACCTTTCTCCAGAAGAACTATTGTTTTCAGAGGCCAGAAGAAAGCCAGCTAAAAAGGGACAAGGCTGGCCTGATGGACAGGTTCAGCAAACGGCATTATTCTGTCAAAGTAGACCGCAGGCCCAGGGGACCTGGAGGCCAAGGCAGAGGCTACTCCGGAACTAGCTTGAGGCGCGGGTCTGACCCGGCCACACAGCACCCAGCAGTGTCAGGCAGCAGTGCTGGATGGCATGTCGCGCATTATCACTTCACAGCATCAGCGTGGCTCCGATGAACAGGAATGGCGAATCTCTCATGCCCGATGTTCCTGCACTGAAATATCCGTGCTATTTCTGAGATTCACACCTGCCTTTTGATAACCACTGAGCTCACCTATGATACCACACTTTTCCCTGGTGCACACACTCACAGTTCTTCAGAATCCTCCCACCCATGCCAGCTGTGAGATTGGCTCTCTGTCCTACCTGAAGCCACACCTCTGCCGGTGCCACAGATTCCTCATTTGTAAAATGACGACCCCACGGGGTTGTGTTACCAGCCTTGAATCAGTGCAAGCAAAACCCTTGTAGCTGTGCTTGTAGTGCAGTAAGTGCTCGATACATTTAGCAACGTGTTTGTAATCGAATAAGAACTCTATCCAGGGAGCCGAGTGTCTGAACAGCTGCTACCTATACCTTCTTTACAAATACAAGTCACTGGTGTTTTAGTTTCAAGCTCGTCGGTCCAAATTCTCAGCTCAGTTTTCCTTCTCTAATACAGCGCTTTTACCTGCGGGCAGGGGGTTCAGAGACAGAAAGGAGGGGAAAGATCGCAGAGTGCTTCCTTAAAGGGATCAGCTGGGATTCCTTTTGGGGAAGCCTCCCCCAGAAGGCGCGGTCCACGTGTGCCAAGAGTGGACACAGCGGCCCGTTGCCGCCTGGCCTGGGGTGCAGTGAGCACCCAGCTTCCCAGATGAGATCACCCCATCTGACCTGGGTCCAAGTGGGCCAAAAAGCGCTCCCGACAAAGCCAGATGGTCCTCTTTCCCCAGAGGAGACGGGAACATGTGTTCCTCTTCTGCAAAGAGGAAAGCAACTCCGGACTTCATGTTTTGATTACCCTTGGCTCCCACCTCCTCCCACTCACAACGTTTGTGGAACAGGGAAATGAGCTCCAGCCAAAGGATAAGACTGATGTGATTCACAGCTCTGTCAGGAGAGAAACAGGAAGCGGTAGGCTGGCTGCTGGCTCGCCTGTGATGTCACCCCTGTGGCATG